ACACTCATTGGAATCGCTTATTTTTCCTAAAGGTAAATATAATAATTTGGATAAGGAAGAATCAGCAATTACCGAGAAATTCAATGAAATCTTCTGACTCCCGTACGAATAGGAAATACAAGTCGCCGTACGGGTGCCGTACGAATAGCCACTGCGTATTTTTTAAATACATTTGTTATTCATAAACTACAAAACATAGTTACAGTTCATTTTAACACATAATGCAGAGTAAAAAGTTATATTTCACGGGCAAAAAAAGCTACTTACATCAATACTGCTTGCGAAAGATAACACACGCAACGATACAATTGCCGAAATTCATGTGACGTCATTATTTTCCATAATAATCCTTGCAAGTTTATGCGTTGCGTGACATGGAAATGGCGGCTCGATAAGCCCCTCGAGTACGTCAAAAGATGAGTTATTGCTCAAGTTTTTGCTAACTAAACAGTTCTTGCTTCAGAAGGAGCATTAATTCTCTAGAGTGATAACGTTTCTTTTAGATGGCAAAACTCAATGGCAGATGTTTATGTTACTGTACGGCCGCCATGTTGGTGCCCCTCCGAAGGGCACCAACATGGCGTCTCCATACAAAGCTCTATAAATTTGGGTGAAACACTTTTCCGAATAACGCGCGAATGAATAACCGCACAGACCTAAATCTTGGCGAGGTTATTTATATATCAATCATCTTTCATATCCCAGCTTCTTGACTTAGTTTATTGAATGGTTACGATTTTTATCTTTGATGGCGTGACATTGCAAACCAGCCATACAATACAAGGGAGTTTCTTATTATATTAATTAGATTTGTAATGTGTCTGTTTAGGAAACTAATTTTGAACAACATAGAGCAGTTCTTTCCATTTTTTGTCATGTTATTTTGTTATTTTGTTTGGCAATCAGTAGAAAGCCCTAATTTGGTTTAAAGTTGTTTTTATTCGACACTGGAAGATAACTTGCTCGCTAAGGGTAATAATATGATTTAGTACAAAATCTTTTCTGATAAGAGTTACATGAGTTGAGTTTAATTATGAAGGTTAACTACTAAAATAATCAGTAAAGCCATTCGGTTATCGAAAGTCAAGACCAGGAGGTAATTTCGGAGTGAATGAATAGATGCTCAAGGTGTTGTTATTGACTTGTAAAAATCGAGGAGCATGTAAAACGTTTTTACTGTCACTGCCACCAAGTCCAATTCAATCGTTTGTCGCTTAGGATGCCACAAACCCTTGAAATAGAAGAAATCTTTCTTTCCGAAGAGCGCGACTCGAAAGTACATCCAACACGCAAACTTTGAGGTTCGGGCCAAACCTTGTTGGTAGAATTCTATATGGTAACCAGTCGTTTCGCCCGATAACCAGTTCGCCCGATGTCCCAGACTGAAAGTTCAAAGAAGGATGTGTTGAATTCTATCTTTTGACTAAACGAGCGGAAAAGACAACACTGTAGACTGAATTAGTGTAACCCGTTTTTTATATGCTAATAAGAATCCCTAAATGGAATTTAGGAACACAACACTAACAACCTCGCGAGGTGTATCCAAACTTGAGCAAAAATTCTTACCGGGAATTTTGCCCTAAATTTGATTTTCCTTCCGGTAATTTCGGTTGAATGGTTTGCTTTGCGGAAATTCAATAATTTCCGCTTTTTCTGGAAAATTTAATTTCCCGGGAAATTTCCGTACCATTTGTCCCCATTTCCAAATTTTGGGAATTTAAGGTTGAATAGAAAATAAAACTCCTAGCGCTTCAAATTCCTAATTGTGGACATTTATTCAAAATAACACGCTTCTGATGCCTGCATGCCGGCGTGCAAGTACCGGTGCGAGTGTTTCTCAGGCACAGGCGTCAGAAAGCCAGCGATATAATGTTATGTAACATCAAAAAAATGGTAAGAATATTCAAAAGTACTACGCGTATTTCGCGCACCTTCACTGTTTTTTCCCTGGCAAAGAATATTTTGGTTCAGATTTTAAACAGTCCAGTACATTCCAACGGCAAAACGATCTCTTGCGTACCCAACCTGGTCATTAGAGTATTATGCGCCTCATTAACATATAAGGAACGGGTTATACGAATTCACTCTACAGCTCATTGTGGGCATTGGGTTCATCACAGAGCTAACAGTCCGGCTAATCATGGCGAACTGGCTTTCGTGCGAAACTTCCATATTAGGGAGTTTTGTTTACCTTTCTTGCAACGCTGATAGCCGTGATACACAGATATCCTGTGGGCTTTGAAGATAAGAATTGTTTTCGTTTACGATTTCACAACCTCAATTCTTATATGTTAATTAGAATTATTAAATGCTAATACAAGGAGCAATAGAGCGTTTTCACTCACGCGGCAAGCAGCCATGCAGATTTATTGGCACAAGTGTTTTAAAAAACCCAACAAAAAGAAAGAAAGTGTTTACATAAGAAAAGAGTTCAACTCACAGGATTGGTCCTGTAGATCGACATGGCCGTCGTTTCTTATTATGGGTGCCGTGAAGTCATGTGTAAACGCTCTATAAAGAGCACACGCTCCAGAGTGTATTGTTTTTTCAAAAATTATGATTTGTGTTCATGCAGGTATCAAATATCAAAATAGTTTGGATGCACAATTTTCTTTGAACATGCATTATTCATTGTTCTTTACCATACCGTTAATAAAGAAGAGATTCGAGGTTTGTGAAATCTTTCTGATGACTGCATTGCGAAGCTAAAAATAAATAATTATGCTAAGGAAACACTATAATGTGACCATTGTGCTTCAAGGAAATTTTGAAGGGGAAGAATTTTGAAGTGTTCATTCTCCAGACCCCTTAACGCCACAGCTAAGAATTGGTCTGTATTGCGTATATTGCAAACATTACGGCCAGAAAAATCCAAATACAGCATTCCTTCTCATTCACTCGGTGGTCTGCGGCCTCCCCACCCTGGTGTTTTAATTCAATGCTAGGGGTTACCCTGCGAGGGACTAGCATCCTAAACAGGTTGGAAATACAAATACTCCTAGTTGCTTAGATATAACGGAAACTTGCAAACCCCCGGTTTTACCTGGGTTAAGGCGGTTGAGTTTGTAGCGATATTACGTCGTAAACTTGCGTGCCTTTTTCAAGGCCTTGTTAGAGCGCCGTGTGGCATAGATATAAAAACAACTGAAACCGACGTAAAAGTTAGTACAGCTGCAAAGCAAGTTAAATCGCCCACAGGATGTGGATTGAAAACGAACTTCTTCGAAACCCAAGGGGCTATGAAGACTAGAAAAATTCTGAAGTCAAAGAACTGACTGAGTAGCCACCCAGTGAATGATAGCGTATACTTGCGTATAAAGTTACAGTGCGCTCCCAAATAATTCCTTTGACGTGGTATTTGTATTTATTCTCCAATGCTTAAAATTAGATTCGCTATTCCATATTTCCAGGTCTAGTTCAGTTGTTTACAAACTCGTTGCTCGGTACTGGAAACAACAACAAGCAATCGAGAAAGTTCGTATGAGGAATAAAAGTGAGTAAATAAACGTTAGTTGAGTTGTAACGGTACTTGGAAAGGGAGAAAACAGAGATAAATAAACCGTCCCTTATTTTAGTGCAAAGAACAAAATTGTTCAGTCTTCTCAGAGGCGATCAGAAGTGATTCACTGTAGCATGTCACGTATCGATGATAGCCACTTTTTAGTGGCTGCAAGTGATATGTTAAAACATATTCCTTGTTTGTTTGCCCTTCATTGTTTAAGCTGCTATGGTGACAGTTCCCAGTTTCTTTTGTTTTCGCGTTCCATCGTAAATTAAGGCTCGAGGTGATCACGAATACATTTTCTGCGTTCCTCGTCGCAAAACACTGAAGGGACGGATCAATCTGTGTCGTTCTCGACGTGAAAGTTTCCTCTTTGAAATAATTACAGATAGGTCTGGGTAGTATTGCGTGAAACATCGGGTTTGCGCAGTATTCTTTAATATTGCATGATTCGCCAACTGCTGTAGTGTTTCTCAAGGTTCGTGACTGTTACATGTTTACGTTGTAAACACTGCTTTGCCGGAATCTAACAGCATTTCCGCTGGCGGAAAAAATGGCTAGCAAAAGCGCCAATTGTGCTCCGGACTTCTTAAATCATCAAGAACTTAATCGGAGTCTGATTGCCCTAATGGAAACTCGAGGAAAAACAGCGGCGGATCGCCTCGAGCGAGAGCTTGGCGGTGTGAAAGGAATCGCAAAGCGCTTGCATTCGTCAACAAGAAAAGGTCTACTGGGCATTAAAGATGGACTCGCAAGTAGGCTAGTTTTTGGTGAAAACTTTATACCACTGAAACCACCTCAAAGTTTTTGGCGATCACTTGTTTTCTCGCTCACTGACTCCGTTCTGATTATTTTGGTGTTGGGAGCAATTGCCGCTCTTTTGCTAGGATGGTATCATCCAGAGATATGTGATGGAATCGAGCAGACCAAGACGGCATGGATGGAAGGATGCGGTATCATTGGCACTGTGGTCGTCATTATCCTGTCCTCAGCGCTAAGTGACTTCTACCGGGACCAGGAATTTTATAAGATGCAAAACAGGATTGAGAAGAGCCGCACATGCACTGTCATAAGAAGTGGAAACGAGCTCAACTTGTGTTGCAAAGACGTAAGAGTTGGTGATCTCTGTCTCCTGAAAGTCGGTACAATTGTCCCAGCAGATGGCGTCCTCGCTCAAACCAATGAGTTAGTTACTAATGATAGCATCGTCAATGCTGGTCCACGCGTCGTTAAGGGAGAGGAAGATCCTTTGGTTTTCGCTGGGAGCTATGTTAGAGAGGGTAGCGGGAGGTTTCTAGTCACTGCTGTCGGTCGCAACACACAGGCTTTCAGGTACAGAGGCAACGCAAGCATGCCGGCCGAGTCTGATGGACCTGATGACGAACGCACGACCTTGCAAGGGAAGCTGAACAAGGCCTCAGCTATTTTAGGGCTTATTGGCATAATGCTGGGTCTACTGGTGGCATTTATTATCATTCTGAGATTCAGCATTCAAACATATTCTGTTGACGACGAGAGTTACGATGAGAGTCACTGGATTGAGTTTGTACAGGCAATAATAATTGGCATAGTCATCGTTATTATTGCTGAACCCGAAGGACTGTCTTTAGCTGTCACGATAACACTGTCTTATTGCGTTGACAAGATGTACGCCAGCCAAATATTGGTCAGGAATGTTGATGTGGTGGAGAAAATGGGAAACCTAACAACCATATGTTGTGGGAAGACAGGGGTTCTGACTGAACTCAGTAAAATGACTGTCACGGAACAAGTGGTGGAGTGTTACATGGCAGACGGAAGGTATAGCGGAAATCCACGCTATTACAGGGACAAGCTGCCCCCAAACTTAGTTAAAGTCCTGTGTGATGCCATATCTGTCAATACAAGTTACTCCTCCACTATAACGGTAAGCTGCTTATAAATTAATGAATGTAGAAACCCAAATTACCATAATCTATATTCACATTTTGTAGGCTTTAATGTTTATTCAGTCAAGTGCACGATAAGTTGCAATAAACACTACAGAGTAAACATCGTCATTCACGACTTCCGTCATTTCTGTGAACACCATTTCACTTACTCATACGACAATGTTAGTGAAATCTTAGTAGTGTCTCAAAGAACTCGATCGAAACTCGTTGAATATGGACAAGGTACACATTTGAAAGAGACTTGATTACAAACGGCCAAACCTAAAACGCATCATAAGCGGAATTCTACTCCAACCATAAAAGAGTTCCTCGGCGACAGCAAAATGTTCAATGAAAAATCCGAACTAACTTTGACTTATTCAACACAATTACGTTTAGACACGCTCCATGCCTTGACGTAAATATGGCATTTCAAAACAACACGTCCACCGAAACGTGACTATATTATTCATTCCGAGAAAACTTTGCAATGTTGAAATACTTTTTCGCCTGTATCAAAATTCAAGTCTAGTCCAAGGGGCAGCCTATGTTTTTGTTTCCCTCGTCAAAACAACATTGCGGCAACTTTGGTTCGCTTTTCTTGGTAATTTGCTATGTCGGGAAAGAGATTCGGTTGATAGATAATTATATATGTTACTGAACTAGTTTGTTCAATCGGTATTGGAGAAATATTGGTGAAGTTCTTATTTGCAGGATCTTGCCTTCGGCTTGGTCCATAAGCCCTCAAAAATTAGTATTCTCCGGACAGACAGTTCAATGAAGCATTTATTAGAATGTTTCTTTTTAATCTGCTGATAAATTGGTGTGTCTCCGCGAACCATTCTCGGTAAACTCGCGCGTGAAAGGTAGTAGCATTTATTTATGTTTCTCACGTCGCTTTTGTGAACATTTAACTGAAATTATATTGTTCTCCAAACAGGTAAAAAGCCTGGGTAAAAAGATTTCTACCTGACAAAAAACTGTTTATTTTGTGGAATGAACTGAAAACGAAATTTGCCGAAATTAATTCGTAAGCGGTCCATCTTAGCGGTCCGTATTGCAAAATTCAGACCAGCTTAGCCCTCAAATAACAACACGTTACTGCATTACTATTCGGTATGTCAGTGTTTCACAGCGCAATAGTAACGCAGGATAAGAAACCTCTAACATTACACTTCTCCTTTTGGTTGAAAACTCATCTATTCACTATTGGTTCGGGAATTGCCGATCGCGTAAATAAGTATTTTGTCGTTTCGTTTTACCAATGGCATGTACATTATGTATCACTTTTGTGTAGCATTAGAACATCTATAATTGTCCCCTACAGATAAGTGGCTTTTGGAAGTACAAATCAAATCCGTATCAGGCCTTGAGCAATCCGCCAGCACTGGCCATGCGTCAAATTCGATCCATTTAAAATCCTTTAGAAAGACGGTTGTTACATGTTTACATGTTTCCAGTTGATATATTTTCTTTATTAGAGTTTAAGTTCCTGAAATTAAAAATGTCAAGCTCCCCCTGAAAAACTTTCAGTCCCGAAGATTGATTCTCTATCTTACTCGAGCTTTCCTTTTACACATCGAAGCTGTCCGTTCTTCTACAACTTGAAATTTAAACAACACTGACATTCTAGCCCTTGTACTTAATAAAACGATTTTAGCTGAGTGCGGCGACTGATTGAGTTGCGATCCGTTTAGCCTACAGGCCCTCAGTGCCTTCCTAAGCAAGCCGGTGACAGAACAGAATGTGCTCTTCTTCAGTTCGTGCTTGACCTAGGTCAGTACTACCCGTTTATAAGGAACGATCATCCAGAGGACACATTCGTTAAGGTATTTGGTTTTTCTCCTGAGCGTAAATCCATGACTACAGTCATTCGTGAAGGTGATGACTTCAAGATTTACTCGAAAGGAGTTCCTCAGGCCATTCTTGCACGGTGCACAGAGATTGTTCGACATGACGGAAGCGTGGGCAAGTATCTTCCCGAGGATAGAGTCAGAATTGACCAAGTCATTAAGAACATGCAGGATACCTACCATTTGAAAGTGATGTGTATAGCGTACAGGCATCAGATCTACCCTTCAGGTGGGCGACTTCGTGACTTTTAAGTTGAATGTCGGTCGCACTCTTCCAGCTAACGATACTGAACGAGACATTCTGCTGCCGGAGGGGGGGACTCCCATATAAAAAGGACGGGGCTGTTGATCGGAGATTTTGAAAAGAACCCCAAAGAGGTTCCGAGATCCTGTTTTGTGGGCGTGGCTTGAAATATTTTCCACACCTACCAACTCTAAAACAGCACATTATCTCCTGTCATATTTTTTGGGCTCAATATCCTAAAAGGTACCGCCAAAGCTGCCGCTGTGGACCCTTTGAGGCTGAACACACTAAGAGATAACAAAACTACGTTTTTAACCCTAAAAGGTACGACGAGCACCCCCGTCCTTTTTATTTGGGAGTCCCCCTCGGGAGTCTGTTCTCTTCATACAGACAAACCTCGCTATCTCAAATTGTTAGGAAAACGAAAAATAGTTTACCCGAGTTTGCGGGGTTAAAGATATTGTAGCCGATAGTAAGTGACTGTGAAAGCATATCATGACCAAGAGAAAATGATTTTACCGCCGTATAATCCTTTCTAATCCCTTTGAGTGAATTAGTTCTAAAGCACTTTTTATGTTAGATCAAATTATTTACTTTTTGCACACGACAAAAGTAAATCGTGAAATGCAATCTGGTTTCTTGCTTGATATAACTCCATATCTTCACATTTTGAACTAGTTAGGTAGTCTTTACGTCCATCAAGAGAGGCTCCGCTCTTGCAGCCATATAAGGAGGTCGCACCTGGTTCTGATACAAACTTCCTGAGTTTGCAAAGGGAGGATGCTGAGATCATAAATGTAACATGTAGAGCAGACGCTAAACGCGTTTCCAACTCTTTTAGCGGAAACAAGTAAACCTCAGTGGGACAACGAGGAAGAGGTGACTTCACAGTTAACATTGCTTGGACTTGTGGGCATTGACACAGTAGATGAGTATGTAAGTAGCTGATTCTAGCAGATAGGTCTGCAAGGCGAGCATAGAAAAACGGGTTGACGTAGTTAACGTTATTATGAGAATTAGCGGTAAATCATGGTAAACAATAACGTGTAATTATTGTTGACTTTCTTTAATCTTACTCCCAACCGGTGTGACAGCAATTAAGTGAAATGCAGCAGTATGAAGATTAGGTGTTAATCGTTTACAAATAAGTTCAGAAATAATAAGCTTGAAGGAAAGTTATTAAGAGCGAAACGATACCGTGGCATTTTGAATGTTTTGATTCTACATCGATGCCATTTTTTTCTTTAGGCTGAAGTTGAAACTAGGAAACGCGCAGTGGAAGGAACATTAGGGGGTAAAACATTTAAGAGCTTTCAAGAATTGAAGACGTATAAAGCAGACAACTTCAAAGAGCCGGCTTTTGTTGAGGAAATTTGCAGAGGAATCGCTGTTAACACAAAGTATTCATCAAATATTCAGGTACACTGTGAATAGTTTATAGTATAAGCAGGCGTTTAGTAGCCATTGCCTTAATTATCAGTTTCGATTCAAATTTATTAACATTTGCGCGAGTTTCTTCTTTAATTATAATTCGTTTGATTTTTCCTGGCTATTTACTGAATTTGTTCTTCTCGGAGGCTCGTGTTTCTTTATTTTTTGAAGCCAACATCTCAAGCCTAGTCAGGTTACCTTTACTTTTCGTATGCTGTGTGCACGTTGAGCACAAGTAACATTAATATCAACGCTCTACTGTCAGGATGAAGATGTAGACAATCTCCCAAGACACACTGGTGAAAGCACCGATGGCGCTCTTCTGCAGCTTCTTCTTGAAATGGGTGAGACGTATCAGATTTGGAGAGACGAATATCCCGAAGATACACTGGTTTACAAGAAGGCGAATCCTAAAGGAGCGCCTTTGAATCAGGAGTATACCGCTGTTGTCATTCATCTTAAGGATGGCGGGGGTTACAAGCTTTACTGCAAGGGAGCTCCTGGCTACGTGTTGCCTCGATGTACTCGAATGGCGCTTCCTTCACTTGATAATGTGCCCTTTGACGATCACAACACGAGGAGGGAAACTGATGACCTGGAAAAAAGAAAGCAGCTTGAAGTACTTTGTTTGGCGTCTAAATATTTTCCAGCAGTCTACGGTAGGTGGGATTGTATTTTGAGACATTTCAGCTTCGTTGAACTGAGGCAAAAACTTTTTGTGTGTTGACGTCACGAGATTAACGCATAAAAGTACTCTTTGGACTTGGCCTTTTCCGTCGTTTTTTGCGATGGGACAGGCACGGGATGACTCAGTGGACCGTTCTAGGAATTCCCAGAACAGATTATTTTGGCTTCTGGTATCATTTTGTTTTTTCTTTACAGAAAATAATGATTGGGGTCAAGAAGAAACCATGTCAGGTCTTACATTTCTTGGTTTTGTTGGCATCGATGAAACTGTTCGAAAGCAGGTAAGTCGACACGTCCATTGTTTTCTCTCAATTATTTGCAAGGTTTAATGTAAATAGTTTTTGAGACGAGCTATTTATATAACGTGTCATAAATTGGATTGAAAATATTACCTATTTCAATTCAAAATAGTTGCTTCAAATTTTAGTCAGTCATTTCAAAAAAAACATATGCGCCGTAAGAACAGCTAGTTTACATATACATCTGAAGCCTTCATAAAGTGATATTTGTTTTAAATCTAGGTGCCGGATGCAATATGGCACTTACGAAAAGCAGGCGTTAAAGTTTGTATGGTGACCGGAGATAACTTGAGTGCAGCTGGATCATTCGGATCGAAGACCGGAATCTTGTCACCAACACCGGAATGGCCACTCAAGAACTTTTCTTTTTATGGATGCGACAGCACAGTTTTGAAAAACGTACGTAAGAGCCAGTTCCTGTAAATACCGAGAATGAGATGACAGTCGCGAAATTTTCGATTTCTTCATATTTTGCCCAAATAACCTCTATAGTGAGTTGTTTT